TTCAGCTCCTTTCCAGACAGAGCCCCTTGTCCTGCCTAAGACCGCTGGAGTTCGGGTGTCTGCCAGGGTGGGCACGGAGCAGGTCGGGAAAGCCAAGTCTCACTCAGTAAATCAGGGCACACGGCTTGTGTGTGATCCAGCAGGGAACTGGGACTTCTGGCTCCCATTTCTGGTGGACCCACCTCTGTCTATCGTGCATCCATTCTGGAGCTGTTAAAAGAGGAAGAAGGTGCTTCCTTCCTCCTGTGTTGGTTTTGAAGCTTTGTTCCCTAATAAAACCCATTGAGATCCCCCAGGGAGGAGCTGTGGGAAGGTGTGACCTCCTGCCTGTACCATGCTTGGATCTATGCTTCCTTCCCCTCCTTTGTTTCTCGCAGCGCCCAAGCCGAAACGTCGGCGGCTCGAAGCTGTGAAGAAGCTGAACTTCAGCATGGAGGGTGAATTGGCTTCTGATTTCCCCCAGGATGACATCGCCCCACCTCCTTCCCCTGGGGCCTGCTCCAAGCCACCGAGTGCCAGGTTCCTCTCCTTTTTATTGCTACTCAGGAGGCCCTCGACAAGCAGTCATTTTAAATCTGGGAGCTAGACTGAGTTTGGTAAATGGCCTGCATTCACAAAGCCAGCAGGACAGGCAGCTTCGGCTCAGGGACTGGAATAGCAGGAGGTGTCTCTTCTAGCTGAGCTTATATGGTCCACTCATTGCAGCGGTATCAAGAGCCTTATTTGGAGACCCTTACGGTAACGGGCTCTGAGGGCCGCAATAATGGGAAGTGCTGCAGGCTGAGGTGGAGGGACACCAGCATTGCTATATGAGAAGGGGAGCTGCAGTGGAGGGAGTGGATATGGGGCTGAAATAGTAGCGTGCTGTTGCTGGAGCTGTGCAGAGCAGGCTGGAAGTAGGACGGCCGGGAGGGCTGTGCGCCAGGCTGTGGCATGCGCAGGATGTGAGCGCAGCCTCCTTTTCCAGGAGTCTACGGGGGCTTGGGCCGTGCCTATGTGGGGGCTCTCGTGGAAAGTCAAAGCAATGGACCGAGAGTCAAAGCATGTTGAAGCCCCATGCACAGGCTCTCGTTAAGGAGCGAGGCTGTTTCATGCACCTTAGCTTAATCCTCCTTGGGTCCAAAGGGAAATCCTCCCCAGATTAAATTACAGCCTTAGTCCTGCATGACCTGGGGGCAGATTAACATGCTTCAATTTATGGGTATTGCAACTTCAGATGCCTGTATAGGCCTGCCCTTAGGAAGGCCCTGGCCACCTGACTGTGGCTTCTGGCTTTTCAGCTGGTCATGTAAAGTCAGTTTTGGCAGAGGGACGACGTCCTTCCCAGACAGTTGGTTTCATGGGCTCTCTCTTGCTTCTCTGGGACCTGCTACAGGAGCCCAGACTTCCTGAGTCCGGATAGCCTGGAGCTGAGTGACGTGGCTCCGCTGCGATTGACACCACCACCCCCTGAGAAGAACCTCAGTCGGGTCCTCAGGCGCCCCCCCATCCTGGAGGACTACGTCAATGTGACGTCAACGGATGGCACCAGAGTCTTCATGGTTCTGAGAGAAGATTGCACCCAGACCGGGGTAGAGGTAAGACCAGATCACCGCAGACTGTGTGTGGTTAGGAGCTGCACTGAATTGCATGGTTTTGCTGTCATAGGTCATTTGAAGTCGTGACACCCACTAGGTGACCAGCAAAACTCCTGGGGTTAGATGCAGTTGGGGTGATAGATGAAGCTTCTCGGTTTAGCTTGTGTCGCTGTAGGAGGTGTAGCTCCGCTAGCAGAAAACCTCCTTGTGTTGTCATAAGCAGCTCGTGAGCTCTGCCAACACAGCCAGGCCCTGTAGTGTAGATGAACCCAGGGTTTGCCTTGTCCTGTGAGCTCTGATTCAGTGATGGAAGCTGGGTAACTCCTAGATTCTCTAACCTAGGATCATAGAAATTCAGGCTGGAAGGGAGCTCAGGAGGTCACATCTAGTCCAACCCTTGCTCAAAGCAGGACCAGCCCCAACTGCATCATCCCAGCCAAGGCTTTGTCTAGCTGGGCCTTAAATACCTCCAAGGATGGAGACTGCACCACCTCTCTGGGGGGCCTGTTCCAGTGCTTCCCCACCCTCCTAATGAGAGAGTTTTCCTTAATATCCAACCTAAATATCCCTTGCTGCAGCTTGAGCCCATTGCTCCTTGTTCTGTCATCTGCCACCACTGAGGATAGTCCAGCTCCACCTTCTTTTGAACCCCCCTTCAAACTGCTATTCAGTCCCCCTTTAGTCTTCTCTTCTCTAGACTAAGCCCAGTTCCCTCAGCCTCTCTTTGTAAGTCATATGCCGCAGTCCCCGAACCATTTTCCTTGCCCTCCGCTGGGCTCTCTCCAACGTGTCCACATCCTTTCTGCAGTGGGGGGCCCAAAACTGAACGCAGTACTCCAGATGTGTACTGTGGAGTCCTTCAAGAGTTATGTGTATGTTTATGCTTTGCATCTCTGTGCTAAAAAGGGTGCATCTGGTCACTTCTCATCTTTTGCAGCTCCCAGGCTCTCTGGGCTGGAATACACGCAGACCGCTTCACTTACTGGGAGTACCTTTTTCCTACCTCAAGGAGCAAGTGTATGAAGAGGTATTGTACCCAAATCCCATTCCCATCCCCACTTGCAATTCATAGAATCGTAGAAAATGACGGTTGGACGGGACCTCAGGAGGTCACAACTAATCCAACCCCCTGCTCAAAGCAGGACCAGCCCCAACTACATCATCCCAGCAAAGGCTTTGTCTAGCCGGGTCTTAAAAACCCGCAAGGATGGAGACGGCACAACCTCCTGTCTGTCTCCTCAGAACCAGGTTGCTTCCACAGCGGGCAGAAGCCAACCAGATTGGGAATGGGTCTGGAAGAGGCCTGCGGTGTGGTGCTGTGTACACATGCAGAGTCCCATGGAGACCCCTCAGATATATTTGCCCTGGATATATTGGACTCCAAACCTAGATAAAGACTCTTTGAAAACTAGGCCCTGGATGTC